CCCCTCAAGCTTGTTTTAATTGGGGAGCTCCACCCCACACTGTACCTACTGGGTAACCAACCATTAACGCATTTGACACATCAGTGTCACAGTGTTCAGCCTCACAGCAACCACAAGTTACCGCTGTATGACAAGTGGACACACCAGGGCTATATGACCTATGAGTGTGTTTGAACAAAAACAATGAAAGACGGGCCCGAGGGCCGCGGATTAAAAGCCACCCACCTTTGGCTTGGTAGCATCACTTTCTGTCCATACAATTAGGTGTTTCAAACAAAATATACAGGAAAGTTCATAAATATTTTTAATATGGCATGGCTTCAAGAGTCTACAAAGCAATCACTAGTGGTGTATGGAAAAGAATGCTTTTTAAGGAACTGTGAGACGTACTACAGAGTCTACAGAAATCACCATATCCAGTTACTGAAACCATTTTTGAGATCTCACTCACCAAATATACTGCTCTCTGGAAGAAGGATGTGGTCTCCAAGATTTTGTGCATTGTAATAGTTTCCAACTCCTCAGGGTCAAGCTGCTCCTTCTCAAAGGGCATCCCGTTGAATAGAACAACGGGCAGAGGCCCAACACCAGTCTGTTCATAGTAAATTCTTGCTCCCTGAAAGACACAAGGATCACAACATATTTCTATCCTTCTAGAGGTAAATGAAGCATTTTTTTAATTGTCTGTTCTAATAAATAAAAAAAAAATTAGTATGACTATCAAGAAATATAGTCATAATCACAGAGGGTGGTCATTAAGGTCAATGGCCATACTACAGTCCCCACAAAAACATTCTCTAATGTCAGTGTTCTAGGTCCTGAATAGCATCTTAATGAGCTAAAGAAGTGCAACTATTAATCTTCCTTTCTAAAGCAAACAATATTATTCAAAACACTAATGGAACCCATGAGCTTCAGCTTTCACAATCATGAGAACACAACTGCCATTCTTGATCACTCTAAATGGTTCACAATCAAAGGTCCTTGACTGAGTGGGAGAAAAATACAGATTAAAACTTAAAATCATCAAAATGACCTGACAAACACTGGCAGAACCTCTGGAGACTACAGCATCACCCTTCAAGCCAGAAACTAAAATCAGTCCTCTAATCTTTCAGTGAAAGAACAAAGAGTACTACAAAGTGGTCAAGAACACTTGGAAGAAACACACTCTTATAAACAATTAAGGATCCAAGATCAAAATGGCACCATCTGATGAGGGAGAAAGGTCAAAAGCAAAAAGAGATCAGAAAGAAGGGTGAAGAGAAACAGGAAACACAGCAATGAAGTGCTATTACAGAGCAGAGGCTGGAATCAGAGGCACGAAACAATGCGTAAGAATTGTTGAATAAAAAAAAAAAAAGAACTGTTTAATCAAAAACCACCTTTTTAATCTTTAAACCTTAACTCAAATCACAATAAAAAGTTAACTGGAAAAATATACAATGTCTAAAAAATTAAGTTAATTTCTTTTGGGTAAATTTGAGATTATGAAGATTTTATTATTAACAGTAAACTTTGCAAATTGGAAAGTGTGTGACCTGGGGCAGTGCGACTATCAAAAAGATATATATATATATATATACTAAATTAAAAATTAAACGAACTCTGGAGGTATGGTGCTAGTCAACCACAGCTGTTGGAATCCACCCTGGTCTGTGGGAGAAAAAAAGATTAGTTTCTTTCTGGGAAGCTTAACACAGGGTCTCTTACAAGCTAGCATTGACCCAGTGTGGCTCCTGGCATAGTCAGTACTACAGACTGTGTGAAATGAGGCAAATATTCTAACTGCTTCTTCTGACATATTTTGGGCATGCTGCAATGAGGGAACAGAGCTTGAAAAGGGACATCATGCTTGCGAGAGACAGCGCAACAGAGGAAAACTCTGGATGAGACTGAGACAATGGGGGTAGGTGTGTCAGGGATGACAAGGTTGGCTCAGGATAGAGCAGGGTTCAGAGCTGTTGTATGTAGGGTCATTATGAGTCTCAAGTGACTCAAAGGCATATAACTATCCAGTTAACTAGTTACTGATCTCATTTGATTAGTAAGCATCTGAGAACTGTCTAGTATAACTACATCAACATTAAACAGCCATATGTGTCACAGGTTTACGATATCTGGCAACACACCTATGTTGTTTTTGGTGCTGTCACTTAGTCCTACAGGGCAGAGAGGAGCACTTCCTTCACAGGTGATGGCAGAGTGGGCTGTTAACCGAAAGATCTACCACTCCACACAGGTCTGCTCTTTACTGGAAATAGACTGCTCCCCTGGAGATACCCAGCATCAGAAAGACAGAAGGTCTCTATGAATCAAAATCAACTCCAGAAGCAGTAGGTTTAGTCGGGCAGACTGGAGGGCTAACCATTGATTAGTGGCTCCACATGTAACTCCCTGACTATACTAGGGCTCCTTACAATGGTTATACTGTTGACCAGTTGGAACCAATTTATGGTGCTTTTCAGAGACTACAAGTCACACAGGAAGAGACTACCTATCTTTCTTCCAAGGAGCTGACGGATTCAAACCACCTATTTCTGGTTTGACAGCATAATTCCTTACCAACTAGTCTACTAGTGCTCCCTAGAATGGTTAGATTGTTGTATTGTCAAGCTAGAACCAATCATAGCTGACCCTTCAGCAGGTTTTCTGAAGCTATAAATCACACAGGAAGAGCCTTTCCATATTTCTCCTACAGGACAGCTGGTGGATTCTAACTGCCTGCCCTTGTGTTGGTAGTACAACTCCACAGCTAAGAGATCACCAGAATTCCCTAGGATAGCTACTGTTATTTTTATCTGCTATCGAATTGGAACCAATTCATAGCTGCCTCTCCAGGGAGTTTTCAGAGTATAAATCACATGAGATTGGCAATCTTTCTTCCACAGAGAAGATGGTGAATTTGAACTGCATGCCTCTATGTTGGCAGCATGCTTTATCCCATCAGGGCTAACAAAATATTATTGTTCCTAAGAAGAAAGTTCAAGATTAAATTCTAGATCGTATAGCCCTGGTCTGTCCACTTGCTTCTCAGAGGTTGCAATGATGCTGAACACTTTGACACTGATGTGTAAAATGTGATAATGGTCACCCATGGTGGACAGTGTTTGGTGGAACTCCCCAATTAAAACAAGCTTTGAAGCAGGAGTGGCAGCCACTTCCAAAATAGCTTGCCTCCAGAAACCCTGTGAACCTGGAGAAAAGATGAAAGTTATACAAATGTTCAGGTCTTTTGTTCATAGGGTCACTATGAGTCGCCTACGACTCGACGGCACTTAAGAAAGTTCAAGATTAAATTTGTTGTGGTTGCTACGTGCTGTAGAGTCAACTCACAGTCACCCTATGAACAACAGATCTGAACTCTACCCTATGATGTGCCATCCTCATCATCTCTGATAACTTTTTACTCTTTTGGCAACACATGGAATATTCAGTACTCTTCTCTCAAACATCACAACAGAAAAGCATCAATTCTTCTCCTGTCATCCTTAGTCACTGTCCAATTTTCAAATGTACAGTAAGTAATCCAAAGAACCATGGCTTGGATTAGGCACACCTTATAGTATTATGTTAATGTCTTTGCTCTTCAGCATATTGGAGAGGTCCTTTTTCTCTTTAGCACGTTGCACAGTGTATTTTCCCAATGCAGTGAGTCTTTTAATTTCTTGACTAGGGGTGTCAAGTTGATTGAAGATTGTTGTACTTTGGTGTCCTCAAGTCAACTAAGACTCATACCCTATGAACAAGAGATCTGAAACTTGTACTACCCTGCGTAATCCCTACCATCTCTGATGGGCTCAAAAACCTACTATGTCAATTTATCTTGTTGACAGGGTCGTCCTCTCTTTCTCTGACTCTTCACTTCTCCAAGCATGTCTTTCCTCAAAGACCAACGTCTCCAGACAACAGGGCCAGAGTACATGAGACTAAGTATCACTACCCTTCCCTTTAAGAGCATCCTGGCTACACTCTAAGACAACATATCCAAAGTATGTGAGATGAAGTTTCTCCATCCTTCCCTTCTCTAAGGTGCATCCTGGCTACACTGACTCCAAGTCTATTCTCTTGGCAGTCTATGGGCTATTTTTATTTACTTTTTATTATTACTTTTTTTAATTCATTGTTGCACATTTTCTTTCCCCTCCCCTAACTTCTTCCAGATTTTTGTTATACACATCCATGAGATATTTAATGCTCTTCTTCAGCAATACAACTAAAAGGCATTGATTCTTCCTCTATCATCGTTATTTACTGGGCAACTCTCTGATACACAACAAGTAATTGAAAAGACCATCATCAGATGTATCTTGGATCATCAAGTAAGTGTACCTTAATCCTCAAACAAACATTGTTGCCTTTTAGCACTTTGGAGAGATCCCTGACAGCAAACTTCCAGGTGTAATATATGTCCTGGTCTCCTGACTACTTGGTGCTGATTGTGAATCCAAATACTATTAAACATATTGCCACACACTTTTATTTAAATTGACAACTGTGCTTAGAAACACAAATTGCTGTCATCTGCGGTAACGGTTAAATCACTGGCAATTTAAATCATATCTCCCCTCATTATGATGTAGTTATTAATCCAGAGGTAAGATGTTTTGTCTTCTTGATGTTGAGATATAATCCATATTAAAAGCTGTACTCTTTGATCCTCTGCAGCAAGTATTTTAAGTCCTCCTCATTTTCAGCAAGCAAGGTTGTGTTTTCTGCTTAATGGAGGCTGTTGATAAGTCTTCCCCTGATTCTGATGTCATAGTGAGTAGGCTCCTACTCAATCTCAAGTGAAGTCCATATGTATAGTCACTGTTTATGTTTTTCTAAAAAAGATATTGTTGTTAGGTTATCAAACTGAGTATGACTCATAGCAACCCTATTAACCACAGACCTAAACCCTGGCCTATTCTGTAATATCAGTATCTCTGACATATAGCGGAAGTCACTGTGTGAATTCATCTAATAGGATGCCTCTCTCTCCTTTGCCAACACTCCATCTTTCTGAGTATAATGTTCCTTTCCAAGGAACAGCCTCACCTAAATACATGTCCAAAATATGAGAGGTGAAGATTTGTCATCTCTGTCTCCAGGGAGCACCCAGGCTGCACTTTCTCCAAGAAATATGTTTGTTCTTTTGGCTGTCCATGGGATATTCAGTCCTGTTTCCAACATCACAACTCAAAGGTATTAATCCTCTTCCTGTCATCCTTATTCACTACAGCTCTTTGATGCGTAGCAGGTGACTGAGATTTCCATGGCCTGGATCAGGTTCACCTAAGTCCTTAAACAGACATTACTGCTCCTCAATACTTTAGAGAGGTCCCTGACAGCATGATCTCCTGACTTCTGGTACTAAGTGTTAATTGTTGATCCAAGCAAGATGAAATAATTGACAGTTACAATCTTTTCTCCATTTATCATGATGCTGGATGTTGGTCCTGTGGTGAAAATCTTTTTGGGTTTTTTTTGTTTTATATATATTCTTGCAAGTGTTTCATATCCTCATTTCATTTTCAGCAAAATAATTTTATTTTCTAATGCACATTACACACATATATATAATATGTCCTATTTTACATGTGTACTCACAAATGACACCCAAATTTTCCAAAT